CGTGGGGTGTTGGTCGTGTCGGGGGGGGCGGGGCTGCTCGTGGGTCGTGCCCCCCCCCCCAGCCCCGCCGTGGCCACCGCAGCCTGTACCTGTGCCTGGAATCTGGTTCTGACCTCAGGGGTGGGCAAAGGGGGGGGACGAGCAGGAGGCCAGTGCTCCCCGTATCCCCCCCCCCCCTTTTTGCGGGGATGGGGGGGAAAAAGGGCCCCCCTGCCGCATCCTCCCCCCGTCACTCCCGCAGCCCCCAATTCTGGGGGAAATGCTGTGCTGGGGCATCCCCGGGGAAAAGCGGGTGGCATGGGGAGGGGGTGGAGATGGCGTGGGGCCCGGGACGGCAGCATTGCCCCCTCCCTGGCCGGGGCTGGGGGTCGTGCTGCTGCCCCCCCCAACCCCGGCATGGCTCCTGCTGAGGGGGCTGCTCCTGCCGCCAGCTCCTGGGGGGGTTGGGAGCGATCCTCTGCTCCCCGGGAGCAGGACGGCTGCTCTGAAGTCTTTAGTCCATGAATTATTATTATTATTATTATTATTTGTCACGATGTTTCACTGCGTTAAATGTGTTTGAATGGGGAAAAAAAAATTTTTTAAGGCAATGTTTAGTTTTTAGGTGATCTTTTAGACACTGTATGGAATTTTAATTTGTTTTAAAAACCGGTTTTTTTCCCCCCCCCCCTTTTTTTTTTTTATTTTTGTCTGTTGGCTTATACTAATCTTCCCAGTCTGCTCTTCAGTCCTTTGGATTAAAGACACTTAATGCGTCACCCCAGTCTCTCCTCCTTGCTTGCGTGGCTGTGAAGAAACACCGCGGTGGTCCAGGCTGGGCAGCCGCTCTCCTGATGTCTTGAAATCACTTTTTTCCACCAAACCAGCTGAGCTCCCCTAGGTTGTTTTCTGGGGACAGAGCATTTCAGTCCTTGCAAAATCCCTTGGCTTGGGGACAGTCACTCGAGATCTTGTGGCCACGTCTATCCCGGTTGCTGCAAATAGTTTTCTCCCCAGTATGTGTGCCTCCTCCTGGGCTGGGGCTCTGGGGACGTGGGATGTGGGACATTGTGATGGGACGATGTGGGACATTGTGGTGGGACGTGGTGGGATGTGGGACGTGGTGGGACGTGGTGGGATGTGGGACGTGGTGGGACGTGGGACGTGGTGTGACGTTGTGGGACGTGGGACGTGGTGGGACGTGGTGGGACGTGGTGGGACGTTGTGTGATGTGGGACGTCGTGGGATGTAGTGGGACGTCATGGGATGCGGGTGCTGCGCCTGGGTGCCGGCAGGGGGAACTGCGCATCCGACATCGTGGCCCGGCTGCGGGTTACTGGGACACGCGTGGCCCTTGGGGACTGGGGCTGCCACCGGCCGTGCCACCGGTCCCCGCTGTCTCCTCTGCGCTGGCAGCCCCGGGGTGCGCAGTGGGTGCCGCGCTGGGGTTTCGGGCTGCTGGGATCTGCTGCTCGGACCAGCGCCGGCTGCAGGAGAGGAGGGAGTGGTGAGATCCCCAGATGCCTTCCTCATCCTCATCACCCTCCTCCTCCTGCTCTTGTTGGTGAAGAAGCAGTGGAGGGGGCTGCCGGGGTGGGCAGCGCAGGGGGGTGCGGGGGCCGCAGAGGGATGGGGACGGGTCCCGTTGGGTTGTTTGACTCCAAACCATCGCTTCTCCGCTTCCCGCACGTGCGGCTTTTCCCTGGGGGACTCGGGGCTGGGCTGGGGACCCCCGAGCATCCCCCCCGGGTGAGTTTGCAGCCCCTGAGCTGAGCGCTGGGCAGGTTGGGAGTACGGGAGCGCTGCCCACAGGCTTTGCCAAACCACAGAGCAGGAAGGCTCCGCGCGTGCAATACAAAGGGCTTTATCTGATTATTTGTTTCATTATTTCACGCTTGGAGCCGGGTTAGTTTTCTTTTCGCTCCGACCGATGGAGCTGTGTTTTCTGACAGCGCTGGCGGAATGAGCCTTGCCAGAGCTGCTGAAACCTCTCTGCTGAGCCGGCTGCGGGTTTTTGCTTCGCCTGCAGCACCCGGGTACCTCAGAACCACAAGAGATCCCTGGGGCGAAGCGGCTGCTGGTTCTGCTCCGGCACGTCCTGGGATGGGGCAGTAAGTGCTGGGGATGGGGCCGGGGGAAGGTAGCGGGGGGTCTCCCAGCCTTTCCTTCCCTGCTGGAAAGGGTCCCGGTGTTCCAGGTGCCTCTGGGCCTTTTGGGGATGTAGAAATGTGGGGTGGGATGCGCGCCCCACAGTGCAGGTTGGCTGCAGGCAGGCTGTGGCGCGGACGATGCAGGTTTTTGGACCAGCCGTGGTGAGCCGGAGGGGGGTGCCCCAATGTCCCCCCCCCCAGTTACTGGGGGCTCCTTTGCTCAAACCACATCTTCAGGCCTGACTGTCACGCTGCCTCTTGCTGGGTTTAATGGGATTGATGGGATGCAAGAGGCTCTCCTCGCCCCACCTGCCGGAGTGCCCAGAGGTATTTTTCAATCTACATCTGGGTGAAATTCAGCCTGAATCTGCTCCAACGCTCACTGCCGTGCCGTCGGGTCTGGAGTGCTGCACCAGACCACAGGGCTGTGCCTGGCTCTTTGTGCGGGACCCCCACTGCTAACGGCAGAGCGGGGCTGGTCCCGGGGGCTTCCCCAGCATCTCCCCAGTTCTGAGCAGCTCATTAAAGCCATCACTTCGAGCGTTTCTTGGCCTGGGAGGATCCTGCGTTGGCCCAGGTAAGACGTGCTCGCCCTGCCAGGCTGCCCAGCGAGCGGCGGGTCTGCGCAGCCCCTGCCCGTGGCGCAGGATAGCTGCTGCAGACAGACAGACCTTTTCTGTAGGTCCTACTACTTTTTCTTTTATGCCTTCAAGTGTCTCCCCAGTCAAGTCAGCCCTGTGATCTCTTGCTGCTGCTGTTAAAATATTTCCCTCCAGCTTACGCAGGGCAAATTTGGAGGCGCAGGGACAGGAACCCGTGTGCAGGTGGTGGTGGGGAGGGGATGGCATCGGCCCCCAGAGGACCTGGAGCTTTGCGGTCCCAGCAGCTGCAGTTCCCGGGGTGGTACATGGCTCTGCTCCCTTCTTGCAAGCCTTCTGGTCCTGGGAGTCCCAAGTTTCTCCCCACGCTGCAACTCCTTGTGACCTTGAAACGTTAGGTTTGCCAAGGGTTTGCTCAACTGAGTTGTTTTTTTTTTTATCATATTTTTTTAATTTTCTTTTTTTGTTCCCCCTCCCTGTCGCCTATGGGGTTTAGCTGAGCCCAGCGCAGGGTGCTGCCAGGAGGGACGGCTGCAGGAGCAGCAGCTCGGAGGGAGAGTTCGGCCGCGGCGGTTCTGCAGGTCCCACATGGCAGCTTCCAGCTGCGGCCATGCGCCGGCAGCACAGTAAAACTGTCGGCACATGTTGCGGTTTGGAGATGCATTGACTGAAAAGCTTTCGTCTTTTCGACAAGTTAGCAAAACGCTACCACCGTGCAGCGGCGTTTGCACAAAGTGTAACGTGAGAGGCTGAAAGTGGAACTCGGAGCTGCCGGGGTCCCGAGCTGAGCTGCCTCCGCCTGACGCAAACCCGCCCCTTTGCGCTTAAAAATGCTTAAACAAGCACTTTTTACACGCTGGTCCCTGCCAAACGGCTTGCTCTTGTATCTGTTAGGAGGAAACATTTGAGTTGTCTTAGAAAAGCCTGGTAGGCTGCATCTCTTTATGGTGCCTTTAATGCGTTTGCAAAACCTGACGTTGTGCTGTCCCTGTGCGGGTTTAGAAAAGCTCGGCTTAGTGCAAGTTTGCCCGTGTAATCGGTGGGACGCGGGGTGCCCCAGTGGCCCCAGCCCAGCCTTGTGGGACCCCTCACCCCCAGCATCCCGTTATCGCCTCTGGTGCTCTGTCCCTGCAATTTTTATGCCGTGACCGCTGCGATGGCCCCCAGTTGCCTGCAGGCAGGACAGGGCAGAGCAAACCCTGTGATGGGCTTTCTGGCAGAGCAGCTTGGTCCCATTTAGGCAGCACCATGTCCAGCTCTGCGGCTGATGGAGCCCGGACCTGAGTGCCTGCGGATGGTCCCTCCCCGTCCCACGGGGGGGGGAAGGAATCCGGCTGGATTTGTGTCATGTTTTTCAAGGTGTAAACGATGCTGAGCTGCGGTTACAGGCTGGGGGCTGTAACCGGGGCTGGGCTGTTGAGGTATCACCTCCTCTTGCCCCTGCGGGTGTAATGGAGGCAGGAGAGGCTGGAGCTGTGGGGTCTGTGCGCTGTGCGGAGCGGCTGGCACAGCATCCCAAAACCAAAAAGTCCCAGCTTTGATTTAACTGCAAGGCCGTGCCTCTTGGATGGAGGGTGCAGGATGGCACGTTGCTGCTTTTGCTTAAGAAGGTGTTTTAATGCCGGGGTGTGAGCAGTGGTGGCACCGGCCGTGTGGCAGTCAAGCAGGGAAGGCTGGGGAGCGTTTGTCCTATTCCTGGAGGGTACGTGAGCTGCTCCGAGAAGCGCGGCTGCGGGATGCTGCTGTGCAAATGGGCAGGAAGGAACGAAGTCAAATCCCACGAAGGTGCTGCGAGGTGGGAGCTGGAGACGGATGAGAAGAGGAGCTTCGGCGACCTCCTCCGCTCCCACTTGCAAAAGCCAAGCAGGGAGGAGTGGTGTCTTCAGCTGCCAAGTTCCAAAACAGTGAGCTAATACCTAAAACCCTAACAGTAAATCATGTCTGTTTGCATGATGCCATTTGCTCTACTGAAGTGGAAACACGGACTGTACAAATGTACACAGCGCTGAGAGGTGTGAAGTG